GGCGGGAGGGGGGCCGTCCGCCCTCTCAGAGGTATTCTTGAAGAAAGTGCAGCAGCGTGATTTCGTAGTGCTCCCCGGACTCAGGGCAACGAATACTGTGTCGCTCGTTTGGATAGATCTGCGGGCGGAGGGGAGGGGAGAGAACGGTAAGACTCTGGCCCCCCAAAGCAGCCCCAGAGGTGGGCAGGGGTCCCCATGGACTTAACTGCAGGGGGGCCACCAAGGGCACAGGGAGAAATGCACCCTTAACCCCCACCCTCTGTTCTGCCCTCATCGCCCTCAATCCATTCCATCTAGCACGGACTGCCCCCTGCACAGCACAGCTGGAACCAATCCGTCTGCAACCGCTGGAATCCTAAAACCGCCTGGCCTGGGAAGCAGCCTGCTCCAAAGAGAGCCTGGGGTGCTCCTCGTGTGCCAGGCAACCTGGGATCCTCCCTTCTTGGGACGGGATTGCCTGGATCCACAGCCAACTCTTCATCTTGTCATTCTGTTCAACCGACCCTTTGTCTCATCTCGCCTTGGCAACCTGCAGGGGGGTCTGCAGGGCGTGGTCAAGAGAGTCAAGATGGCAGCCACAACAGGGCCACTGCGTTGCCCGTAAAAACAGGCAGAGCTTCTATCCTGTTATGACCATCATCCTGACCTTTTGGACCACACGCTGCGCACACTTCTGACAACCAGCATCTACCTGGAATTGAAAGGTTCCTCATATACATCTCCATTTCCATGGTACCCATAAGCTGAACGCCTTTCCTTCAAACTGGCCGGGAACAATCAAGGTATTATGGACTATATGAAAACAACGGAATGAGGCGTGTTAAGGCTGTCTGAATAATGAGATTCCAGATTTTGGATGGAGATCAGAATACCGCTTCTCTGAATCCAACCGTCACCCTGGCTAAAAATCAGCAGTGTGTTTCTCAGGCCATTTGGAAGCAGAAAACACTAACGCTGCAGCAAAAACTTAAAAAGCGTTTGAAGGACCAATTTACTGCCTGTTTAAGAAACTCACAAGCACCTCTCCAACTAAGCAAAATAAAACCCTGGCCTGCCATAAGTGTGATAGTTTCACCCCCTCTGCATCACTGCAGCCTTTCCAAAAAATGTGCTCAGTTTTTCCAGCAGCAACCAAGGAGCTTGTAACACTGGAATTAAGGAGAAAACATTTCGAGGCCGTTATGTGGATCTTTGATTGAAATGGCTTTATATCCCTGCTTTCAATTATTGTTTTAAAGGGACAGCAGGAATTCTACCTACCTACCTACGCTTATGGGCCGCAAAAGTGCATTTGAACCATGCCTATCCAACTTGGTAACCTGACAGTAGGAGGAGGCAAAGGCTTTTGGTATTCCTCAGCCTCTCCTTCCCCCAGACTGAAAAAGCCAAAAGAATGAATGAATGAACGAATCAATCAATCTATCAACCAACCAGAATTACCATGCACTTTTACCAGAATTGCACAGTAAATCAAGGTTTATCAGCACAAAATTATTGAAGTTAATATTGTATTATCATTTTGATCTTCTTCCAAAAATTTCTTCTTGCCTCCCTTCCCTCCACCAGCCCCAACCCCCGGACAGTTACACAATGAGGTGGCGTTGGCTCAGGCAGGACAACTCGCGCAAGGCTGTGCTGTTAGCCTCCAGGACAAGGTGGGACTGGAATCCAGCCTAACCCAGCACTCGTGCTCCATCTTGCCCAGCCTGGAGGGGAACCAGGTAGGGCAAGATTGGGCAGAATGTCGGCCCTTGCCTTGGGGAAAGCTGCTCTAATTGCTTTTTCAAAATTTTTTAATCCTGCTTTATTATTTTTTATGAATAATTCAGGGCAGCGAACATACCTAATACTCCTTCCTCCTCCTATTTTCCCCACAACAACAACCCTGTGAGGTAAGTTGGGCTCAGAGAGAGGGACTGGCCCAAAGTCACTCAGCCGACTTCCATGCCTAAGGCGGGACTAGAACTCACCCCCTGCTGCTTTCTAGCCTAGGGCCTTCACCACTGAAGATGTGTGGACTTCAACTCCCAGAACACCCCAATTTTAAGAGTGAAAGGCCACACATCCTAGCTAGGGAATTCTGGGAGTTGAAGTCCACATATCCTTCTGGAGAATTCTGAGATTTGAAGATCAGTATTTCTCAGCCTTGGGCGCTTGAAGATGTGTGGGGTTCAACTCCCAGAATTCCCCATCCGGCCACCCATCTTAAAGTTGCTAAGGTTGAGAAACACTGGGATAGAGGCCTTATTTCCACTACTGATCTTCAAATCTCAGAATTCTCCAGAAGGATATGTGGACTTCAACTCCCAGAATTCCCCATCCGGCCACTACTGATCTTCAAATCTCAGAATTCTCCAGAAGGATATGTGGACTTCAACTCCCAGAATTCCCCATCCGGCCACCCATCTTAAAGTTGCTAAGGTTGAGAAACACTGGGATAGAGGCCTTATTTCCACATAAATCTCTATAGGTTTCAACTGCAAATGGTGGCACGGATGCATTTTCTCCTTTGTTCGCTGGTTGTGCAGGTTTTATCTCTGCTTTCTATCTCACATTGTGATCACGGTACAGAATTTGTCTTTTCTGCTTTTATCTACTGTACCCTGGGATGGCTTGGGTTGGAAGAGTTCACGCTATACATTTGTATCATATAAAATGGACTTTTCTGTAAATTGTATATTTTCTACAAATTTTATATATTGAAGATGTGTGGAATTGAAGTCCACACATCTTCAAGAGGCCAAGGTTGAGAAATACTGATCTTCAAATCTCAGAATTCTCCAGAAGGATATGTGGACTTCAACTCCCAGAATTCCCTAGCTAGGGTGTGTGGCCTTTCACTCTTAAAATTCCCCAGCCAATGTGCTGGCTGGGGAATTCTGGGAGATGAAGTCCACACATCTTCAAGTGGCCAAGGTTGAGAAACACTGCGCTAGGCCAAACTGGTTCTTTGGCCTCTTACTCTGACTCGGCTACACATACCACTCTCTTAGGGCCCAGTTATTTGAGGGATCACCTGTTTCTTGCCCATCCAGCAAGGTGGGTGCGCTTCAGATCCCTTCAATTAAACAGGGCCACCTAAAGGGAACCTGGAAGTGGGTCTTCTCTGTCTCGGCACCTGCCCTCTGGAATGGCCTCCCCCCAGAGACTCACTTGGCTCCCAGGCCTTGCGGAAGGATGGCTGGTGAGCCCTTGTAAAATTTTGTTCTGTTTGTCTGGTTTAGGTTTTCTTTCCTGTACATCCATCACTTTGTTCTGGCTTTTTTAGCGTGTAAAGGGCCCAGAATCGTTGGGAGTCGGGCATGCTTTAAATGTATGCCAATCAATAAAAACAAATAAATATCAGTATCTTAGCTGGCAGAGGCCTGTACCTTACCGACTGCAATTCTCCTCTGGTCCCACAGGGCAGGACCATGCCTCCCAATGGCAATGTGCCATTCTTCCTTGTTCCCAGCACCTTCACCTACCTGTAGCTGATACGGTTTCCCAGCCCGGATTAGTTGGGAGATCAAGAAACTGGTGTGGAAAAAGTGCACATTTTCATCCAGAAACCCATGGAGAATCAGCAAGCGGTTGGGCCTGGGAAAAAGACAGAGAAATGCTCCAGGACAAGACTTACGGAGAAGCAAGCAAGAGGAGAGAGCACTTCCTTGGACGGGTGCCTTTGGGCTAGGCGCCAATGACCAGTGACTCCAGGGAAACGCTGGGAAAGCAGTGGAGGAGGTGAGGTGAGGAGAGTTAGAGGCTGTGTTTGCACAACACGCTTAACCAGGTCAGTTAAAATCCAAATTAGCACAAAATGCAAAGCTTGTGTTTGATTTTTGTTGCGACTCTGGATGTTTGGCAAATGTAGCCCAATGAGATCACGTTCCATGTGAAGCCAGACAATGGGTTAATTTCAGGTTCAGTGGGTTGTCTGAACAGACAGGCACCGTGCTCCCCAACCTAGTACCCTGGAGCAGTGTTAGGAGTCCAATCTCCAGAATTCCCAGCCAGGGTCACTGTATCTGGAAGGCACCAGACTGGGGCAAGCTTCAATAGTTTCTCTGGAACTTAGTATTAATCACCTTATTTGGCTGATTATAGGTTTCACACTCAAGACTCTTTACAACTAACCTTGCCTTGCACACAGTTATTAACATTATTATGAAAACACAAAACAGATAAATAAAACAGGCTTGATAAAGGGCAAAGAAATAAATAAATAGCTCCAATTAAATAAATAGCTCCAAACCAATCAAGTTTAAGATTACAGCTTAAAAAACAATGAACAAAGACTAAGTTTTTTAAAAAAATAATATTATCTGTAAAATGGGATTTCTCACATATGAGAGAATTGTCTGCTCTGATTGGAACTGCAGCCCACTGTGGACCATGATGGCCGAACGCGTTTGCAGGATATCAGAAAGGGCTGCAATGTAGGTGGGTATTTATTTATTTATTAGAAATGAATAAACACTGCCCTGACCGGGCTATTTTTATTACAGTGGCCTGTGGATGGCTTTAATTAATTTATCTGGGACTT